TATGAGGTTACTGAAAATACCATGGCTTGGGTCAGGCGCACCTTAGTCTTCAAGCTGACATCTTTGCTCTTCAACACTTTAAAAAGGTCTTGTGCAGCAGATTAGCCTAATGCAATATGTCATTTCTTGACTGCTGCTTCCATGAGTGTTGATAGTTGATCCAAGAAGAATAACATAGAGGGGATTAAAAAAAGGTCCTGAGTTCTGGAATTCTCATTCAATATCTCCCCCCAACATGAAGTACATGGACACATGTACAAGAAGGAAATATATGATTACTGCATGTTTAGGAAACAACTCTATTTTGAAATCTTCACTCACATCTATACCAACAGCTTGCAAGCTCAGGTTTCTATGGAGTGAGTTAGATTTCATCTCACTGTTTTCCCATTCCAAAGGTTCCAGTGTATTTTGGCATCCTCTGTTCTGATAAATCAGTGATTACACCTTCATCTGCTTTCTGACATCCCCCAAACCAGTTTAAATATCTTCCACATGCCATTCCTTTTGTTCTAATGGATAAAATTTCTTTTCTGATTATTTGACAGAGTAAGAGCTTATTCTCATCTACCTACATGACCACCAATTTCATTGCTCACTTTTCTCTTTGCACTTCACTTACCAACAACTCCTAGATTTATATACTCTTGAAGAACATCTTCAATAATTTTTTACTTAATTTTCTGGCCTAGGAATTCTCTCACTCTGCAAGGAAGATAAAATGCACAAAGCCTGGTAAAGAGCAGAAAGTAGTGGCAGATTTCCAGAAGAGAATGTATTCATTTTTCATTTGTAAACCTTAAATTGGTCCCATGTCAGCTGCAAAATTAGTGTAGTGTTCTCTTTTCTGGAGTGCAGCTTCCCTTTCAGTTCTGGCTGCTGGGAGTTTCTCTTACTAAGCATTGGAAGCATATCTGATATATTTTATCATGTATATCTAGAAATGTTTTAGTGGGATGTATTCTAGTTATCTAGTATACATTTGTGAATTCTTTGTGTGGCACTGTAGGATCAGCACTGGACTTGTGAACCACAAGATCAGCAGTTCAAACCCACCAGCTGCTCCTTGGAAATCCTTTACAGAGTCACTGTGAGTCAGAATTGATTTGACTCAATACAACAACAGTATATATATAAATTTTCTTTAATAGCATTTCAGTGGCATCTCAGATTTGATATATGATAATTATGAAAGTTTAATCTACCATGGAGTCCTGGTGTGGCACTGTGGGTTAATGGACCAGACTGTAAAGCCGTTTGAACTACAAGGTTGGTGGTTCAAGCTCACCACCTGCTCCTCAAAAACCCTATACAGGGTTGCTATGGGTCAGAATCGACTTGATGGCACTTAACAACAATACCAATCTACCATAATTGGTAGGAAATAAAGGCTATTACTTTCAAATAATTCTAAGACACCTTTTTACGAAGTTACATGGTAATCACTTTTCTGACCCTTTGCTCTATGTTTTTCGAATGTTAATTTATTAATATTGGAGAAACTGGGTGATATAACTAAAATAAAACAGATATCAAATTTAAACTAGAATTGAAGCCTAGTTCTACCATTTAATAGCTATATGACATCAAAGTTTTACTCAGCTTTTTGAACCTTCCCTCCATGAGAATTATATGTTTCTAGGTGAAAACAGTAAAATAACAGCTATTCTCAGAGTACCATGGACCGCCAAAACAACAAATGGATCTGTGTTGGAAGACGTGCAGCCAGGATGCTCCTTGGAAGCCTGGACAGCCAAATTTCATCTCTTATACTTTGGACATATTATCAGAAGCGACCATTCACTGGAGAAGGATATCATGTTTGATAAAGTGGACAGTCAGAGAAAAAGAGGAAGACCCCCAATGAGATGAATCAGCACAGTGGCGGTAGTGATCGGCTCAGGCCTAGCAATGATTGTAATGTTGGTCAGGACAAGGCAATGTTTTGTTCTGTTGTGCATACAGTCGCTGTGAGTCAGTACTGACTTGATGGCACCTAACAAAAACAAATTAATACTACTTTCATGGAACTTTGGCTCCTCATTTCAGAATGCTTGTCACATAGTGGGTAACCAAGCAATGGTTCTAATTCTCTGACAGAATGATTTGGATTAAAAGCACTTCCAGATAAGTCTAATCAACGCATACATACAATTTCAAATAATGTTAGCTATTTGCCAAGAATCAAATTTAATTGATAATCAATTTATCATATAATCACACATTTGGGGTCTCAATTTATATGGAGTCCTGGTGTTGTTTTTGTTCTTAAGTGCTGTCGAGTCAGTTCGAACCCATAGCGACCATGTATAGAGGGTTTCTGGGAGCAGCTGGTGAGCTTGAACCGCCGACCTTGCAGTTCAAATGTCTTTGCAGTCTGGCACATTAACCTACAATACTACACCACTGTGGGTTAATATACTGGACGGCAAGGTCAATTTGAAATACAAGGTCGATGGTTCAACCTCATCAGCCGCTCCTTGGAAGCACGATACAGGATTGTTACTAGTCAGAACCAACTCGATGGCACTTAATAACAACAACAAAATAGCAAAATCACACATTCTTCTATTTTTTCTGTATAGGGATGTAGTTCTGTATAGGGATCATCAGTATCATCAGCACTATGTTCTAACAATCTGAGCTATCAGGCACTACTGTCTCAAATTCTATCTACTGTAGTCTACGCTGAGACAATCAGTGTCTGAAGAGCAAGAAAAGTATTTACTCACTGTAAGTGCTAGTAGTTTCCCGTAGGTGAGATGAGCAGGGATGTGATCAGTTTTGGATTTCAATGATTCCATGTACCAATGTTCTGCTTCGGGGAGTTTGCTTAATCGCATATAAGCTTCACCTGAAAAAAGAAAAATGATAGCCAATGGGAGGACACAGTTTTCCAAAAGCATGAGGTCATCTCTGTCATCATCACGTTATCTTCCATGGCATTTCAGATGCTATGCTAAGCACTTCCATCATTGTCTCATTTGATCCACAAAAGTCATTACAGTTCCAATTTACAGATGAGAAAATTTGAGCCTTGGAGCAATTAGGTGACATGGCTATATTCAGAAATTTAGTAAACACATTAAAATCTTGATTTTCAATGTAGAAATGTCAAGTTACGACCATATTTTTACATTTTTTAATTTCTTCTTTTTTTAAGGAAGAGATCTACTTTTCTTTTATGTGATCCTTTGTGGGGCTTTTTTGCTTGTTGTATCTCTAAATTCATATTTCATCTATATAGAACAACTCAAATATTATTTGAGTTTCTCCATTATTAAGTGGAGAGTATTGTGTATGTGCTAGAAGATGCATAAGATCCTTGCCTCTACGGGTCATTTACAATCTTAGTGAGGAATTTAAATCAATTAAAAGCCAGAAAAAAAATCTGAGCTATAATACTTGTGCTAGTATTTGCATTTTCTATTTGAAATAAATCGAGTATACCAGTTTCACTTGGAAAAATACAGTGAATACATAAAAATGATTGTGAATGCCCAGCACTGTGTACAAAGCACATTTGGGGTCTTTCAACTATCAGTCATTACTTTTAAGTAACATAATGAATATTCCATTTTCTACAAAAAAGATGGAAAAATGGAATAAAGCAAAAGGCTTATCAGTTATTTGCATATCATTTCTGTCTCACCACTTACATTATTATGGTGAAGAATATACAACTGATAGAAAACAGTACATTTTTTAAGTTTATTTGTATTTCCAGTTATAAATGATACAGTTATAATCAGCATTCAAGTGTAGAAGCTATTCAAATTTTAAGACCAGACAATAGTATGATAAATCTTCATTATTTCCCAGGCAGGCTTTTATGACTCATAAAACTTAATCATGAGAGCGTTTTCCATTCAGAGATATAATCAGATGCTTTTCCTACATTGGTGAAACATCTTTGCTTCAAAGGCAGAGCTAATTTCCTTTAGTTTTAATCATATTTTCTTTTATATATGCAATATTGTCAATACAAATATTTTTGATAAATTGAACTGGCCTGAGTCTCCTGGCCTTTTGAATGCCCTTTACATGACTGGTTAGTAAAAATACTGTAATGTGAGCCAAATATACAATATGTATCAAAGTAGATGTATTCACTCATTAACATTTATGTTTCTAATTCTGAGAAAACTCCTTAAACTATATTCGCGTAAAAATTACAGCTGGGAAATATTGTTTTTCTTCCCAAAACTGACAACGGATTTGCATTTTAGAAAAACTTGGTTAGATTAAATCATATATACTCACCGCAGGATGCAAGAAAAATTGAGACAAATAAGATTGCATAAGGCTAAAAGGAAATGGTTGATGTTCAAATGTTTCAAGAGGTAGCATATGATCAAGAGTCAATGATACTGAAGGAAGAAGTCCAAGGTGCATTGAAAGAATTAGCAAAGAAAAAGGCACCAGGAATTGATGGAATAAAAATTGAAATCTTTCAAGAAAGTGAGGTGGCACAGGAGGCACTCTCTCATCTATGCCAAGAAATTTGGAAGACAACTATCTGGCTGACTGATTGGAAGGGATCCATATTTGTGCCCATTCCAAAGAAAGGTGACCCAATGGAATGCAGAAATCATAGGACAATCTCTTTGATATCCCATGCACATAAAGTTTTACTAAAAGTAATACAGAAACAGCTACAAGCATACATTGATAGAAAACTTCCCAAGGCTCAAGCCAGATTCAGAAGATGCTGTGGAACGAGGGATAGCATTGCTGATGTCCGATGGATCTTGGCTGAAAGCAGAAAATATCAGAAATATGTCTACTTGTGCTTTATGCAAAGGCTTTCAATTGTGTGGATCATGACAAGCTATGGACAACACTGCAAAGTATAAGCATTCCTGAACACTTCATGGTTCTCATGAGGAATCTGTACATGGACCAAGAGGCCATTGCTTAAACAGAAAATGGGAACACTGAATGGTTTAAAATTAAGAAAGGTGTGCGACAAGGTTGTATTCTTCCACCATATTTATTCAACCTGTATGCTGAGCAAATAATCTGAGAAGCTGGGTTATATGAAGAAAAACATGTCTTCAGGTTTGGAGGAAGATTCAGTAACAACCTGCAATATGCAGATGATACAACCTTGCTTGCTGAAAGTGAGGAAGACAACATATTTACTGATGAAGACCAAAGAGCACAGCCTTCGGTATGGGTTGCATCTCAATGTAAAGAAAACAAAAATCCTCACTACTGGACCAATAGACAAATTCTTATCAATGGAGAAAAGACTGAAGTTGTCAAGGACTTAATTCTTCTTGGATTAACTATCAGCACTCACGGA